CTGCAGTCTGCCCGGGCACAGAGGCCCCTGTAGCCCCTTCCCTGTGTGGAGCTGGAGGTGTCTCCACCTTGTCCCGTGTCCAGCCAGGTTTACTGGTCGTGCTGCTGTGCTGTGTGAAAACCCTGCTGGCCACGCTGTGGCCTCTGGTCACCTCTCCCCTCTTCTCTCCAGGGCGCGTCTCCTTCTTCACCTCGGGGTCTGAGAACCTGCACCGGGTGGAGAAGGTCCACTGGGGCACCCGGTACGCCATCACCATTGCCTTCACCTGCAACCCCGACCACAGCATCGAAGACCCAGCGTTTACGTAGCCGCTGAGGCCCTGGGATCGTGCCTGGGGCCTGTCCACACACCCTCCTCTGGGGAAGCAGCCACGGGCGGGTGGCACTCCTGGGCCACCCGAGTGTGCGCCCTGCCCCTCTGGGTCCAGCCATTCCCTCTGCACAGAGTGCCTTATGGATCATCCTTAATTTTGATTTGTGCTGTTTTAGTTTTTCACCTGTCTGTAAATGAAGGAGCAGGTTTCGCCTCACAGGCTCTGCGTGTGCTGTGTTCTCGGCGAGCCTGGGGCCCTCCTTCCTCAGGAGAGGTCAGGGCCTGGGGGGACGTCCTGTCTGGACAGGCGGACTTGTTCGCCTGGCCTGGTCCAGTTTAAACACCAGTTGGCCCTTGAAGGCCCACTGAAGTGTGGGCAGGTTTGATGGGAACACCTGCAGGGTCCGTTTCCCCAGAGGCAGAAGCAGAAATGGCAACTTGCAGAAGGTTCTGGTGAGCAGCGGCTTCCCGAGTGGGTGTCTGATGATCCAGATGGCCCTGAGCTTGTGCCTGTCAGCACCGGGCCCAGTATGTCCCCACCAAGGAGGCTCTCCCAGGGCCTCCTGCCTGGGCAGGCTGCCTGTCCCATCCCTTTCCTGTCCAGGTGCTGTCCCGGCCTTTCCTGATACAGCCTAGTGGTCAGAGGAACCAGAAAATAGCTCAGCTGTGGAGGCAGCCTGTGCCTGAGAAGCACACCCGTCAGTGTATCCAGGGTCAGGCGTGGTCCCATGTTGTTCCATGTGGCTAGTCCTGGGCTTGGGCACCTTCCCCTGGGCAAGGGTTGACCTGTTACTGAGTACCCCTGGGAGCCAGACTCTCCCAATCACCCTACCTAGTATGCTGAGCAGTGTGGCCGTGTGCCCCGATGTGGGAGACCAACCTCCCACGGGACTGAGTCACACTCCCCGGCTGGGTGCTGAGGCGCTCAGTCACAGAAATGTGGCAGAGCTTTCCCCATCCTTCTTGGGTCTGAGGGTCGGTGTCTTGGGTATGGGTGTGTCTTGCCACAGCCCCATGGGTGAAGCTACGCTCACCTGTTCCTTTGTAATATAACCCCTTGCCCTGTTTAGGATAGAATCTTCCATGGAAGTGCCTTGTGTGTGTCCCCTGGGGTGGCCCCTCTTACTATGCCCTGGGGTGTGGCCTACCCAGGTGTCAGTCAACCTGCTGACAGTGGACATCATGAAGATAGACTCAGCCCCCTGAAACCTGACCCCTGGCCTCATTTGAATAGCTTCTACCCGTGCTCTCTCTCTCTCTTTCTGCAGATCCTTAAGGTCAGAGGAGCTGTCACAGCGACCCCAATGAAAAAGGTCTGTGCGTCTCTTGTGTGGTTATTGTGTGCAGCCCAGTCAGCCCAGTTTACCTGGAGTGACCCTGAGCCTTTTAGTCGCGAGAACAGAAACCCAGCACCCTGATGCTGGAGGAGGCTGCTACCCTTGGCCCTCAGGCCCTCAAGAGACCAGATGCAGGGCTGTCTGGGGCTTATAAAGCAAGGGGAGCATTTCTAGCCCCTGGGCGTGAAGGGACCTGAAGCCAGGAGTCTGGGAGCTGAGGTCAGCTCTGCCCGTGGTTTGCAGGCCCTCCTGCACCACATGCCTGGCTTGGGCAGGGGGCCTCTCTGCTGTACACAGGACAGCTGGAGTGTGCTTGTTCTGGGAGGTTCCACCGTGTACAGGGAGGAGCTCTGGTGCGGGCAGGGGCCAGAGCTGCAAGCCCTGGGCAGTGGGCAGAAGCCCTGGGCCCCTGCAGTCCCTCCCAGGCCTACCCTGGGGGACCCTGGGGCAAGGGCCATGTTGTTCAGGGGGAGTTGGTGGATCTGGGAGGGCGGAGGGTCCAGCTCTGCTGCTGGGCGTGCTGGCTTCTCGGGGATGGCAGCTGTCTGGGCCTGTCCAGTTAGGCTACGGTTCCCAGGCCTGGCTGAAAAAGCTGTGTCCTCCCCCACACTTGGCTTTCCTTTATTTATGCCTCTTGGCTTCCCAGAGTTGTGCTTGGGACACGCCAGGTCCCTACTGTGGAACCCCATGGTCGCGCCGTCTGGTCCTAGCCCTGGGGTCCTGCGTGGGGTTGGGCACGTCTGTCCTTGAAGCTACTGCCTCGTACTGCTGGAGAGCTCGGCGGTGGCTCAGGCTGGCCAGACACTGGAGTGGAGACAGGCCACGGGGCTGGGCAAGGCCTCAGAGGCTTCTCAAGGGACACTTGACCCACAGCAGACCCTGAATCTCTATCCTCATAGCTGGGGCCAAAGCCAGGCCTGGGCATCAGCGGCAGGCAGAGCTCTGGGGCTGTGGGAGGAGCCTGCAGGGTGTCCTCGTGGCCAGGGGAGGGCGTCAGAGGGCCAGACCTGAGCCTGCAGGGTGACCTCGTGGCCAGGGGAGGGCGTCAGAGGGCCAGACCTGAGCCTGCAGGGTGACCTCGTGGCCAGGGGAGGGCGTCAGAGGGCCAGACCTGAGCAGTCAACACAAGGCTCCAACCCATGCTTCACAGACCCCCAGGTTCCCTGGAAGGGCAGGACAGATACAGGCCCTGCCAGCTGGCTCCCTCCTCTTTGGGCAGCCCAGAAGACCAATTCCTGGTCCACACCCAGCATCGGATGTCCTGTGTGACCCTGCAGTGCTTTGTTTTAAGGTCTCCACAAACACATCCCCGGAAGCCGGGGGACAGAAGCCGGGGAGGATGGGCACTTGCAGGGTCAGGTGTGAGGTTTTGCTCTGACACCTAGAGCTGTTCAGGAGCTGAGGGACCCAGGGACGTGGCCTGGGGCCACCCTGCCTACAGATCTCTATGGTGCTGCTGGCCTCTGGCGAGACATCTCAGTCACCAGACGCCTCTTTCCCACGCCTTCAGCAGGGCTCTGGGGCTCAGGGTTGGGGGCACTTCTGCTTGTCACTGAGACAGGAAGGGGACTCTCCCCGACCTCCCTCTTGCTCTTTGTCCCTGTGGATCTGGGGTTCTTTCTGGTCCCATCCCAGCCCTGGGGCAGGTCCCGGCCAGCAGGGGGCAGCACCCGATCGCAGTGGCAGCTGCACTGGCCCCGTCTGCCAGAGGGCGGGGGAGGCCTATGCCTGAGCCTCCCCCAGAGGGAATCGTCCCTGGTTCCCTCCCCTC